GCTGAAAGGGCTGAAAAATAGGAGAGGAGAATAAATTAGATAATAAATGGAATGTGTTTAGAACAACATCAGGTGCACATACATGTTACACGAGCACTGGTTATTATGTTTACTGAACACTCACTATATACACGCACAGTAACAACTAGTCAGTCAGCTAATATATACTGTGCGAGGCTGAGGTCCTGTTCTGGAAGCTGCAGCCAGATAAGAACCTACCCTCTGGAGGTGGTGTTCCAGTCAGGGAGACAGATAAGAAACACACAGATATATTTTTGAGACCAAGTCAAGTGGTATAAGCCATACAAGTAACACAAGCAGGGTGAAAGGGATGTAGCTGAAGGGGGTGTGGAGGGACATAAAAGGGATTGTGGAGGGATGGTGCTATTTTAGGGAGAGTGTTAGGAAAATTCTCTTCATTGAGGAGACATTTGAATAAAAGCCTGGCCTGAGCACGGTGGCTCATGCCTATAATTCCAGCACTTTGGGAGGCCAAAGCAGGAGGATCACTTGGGCCCAGGAGTTAGAGACTGGCCTGGGAGACAGAGTAAGACACCATCTCTATTTAAAAATAAATAAAAAAGGGTTGAATAGGGTGGCTCACACCTGTAATCCTAGCAGTCTGAGAGACAGAGGCAGGAGGATCTCTTGTGGTCTATGATGGTCTTATACAAAAGGAGTTTGAGACTAGCCTGAGAAAGACTCCATCTCTACAAAAAATAGAAAAATTAGCCAGGTATGGCAGTGTGCACGTGCCTGTAGTCCCAGCTACTTGGGAGGCTAATGCAAGGAGGATCACTTGAGCCCAGGAGTTCGAAGTTAGTGAGTCACGATGATACTACTATACTCTAGGCTAAGCGACAGAGTAAGGCTCTGTTTCAAAACAAAAACAAAATAACTCCCCTGAACCCCAAGACTTTAAAGCGAGCAAACAAACAAACAAGCTAGGTGCAGTGGCTCACACCTACAATCCCACTACTTTGGGAGGCTGAAGGAGGAGGATAACATGAGGCCATGAGTTCAAGACCAGCCTGGGCAGAATAGCAAGATTTGGTCTCTACCAAAAATAAGAAAAATTAGCTGGGGTATGGTGGCGCATACCACTTGGGAGGCTGAGGCAAGAGGGCCACTTGACTCAGGAGTTTGAAGTTGCAGTGAGCTATGATCATGCCACTTCAATCCAGCCTGGGTGACAGAGTAAGACCCTATCTCTTAAAAACAAACAAACCAAAAGCCAAAAGACCAAGTATTGGTGAGAGTATAGAGAAATTGGTGGTAGGAATGATGCAGCCGACGTGGAAATGCAAATTAAGTCAAAATGAGCTATCATCTCACACCTTTTAGAATGATTTTTTTTTTTTTTTGAGACAAAGTCTCACTTTCTTGCCCCATTAGAGTCCTATGGCATTACAGCTCATAGCAACTTCAAACTCTTGGGCTCAAGCCATCCTCTTGCCTCCTTTGTTGTGCTGGGACTACAGGTGCCCACCACAATACCTGGCTTATCTTTAGAGACAGGGTCTCGCTTTTGTTCAGGCTGGTCTCAAACTCCTGAATTCAGGCAATCCACCTGCTTCCACCTCCCAGAGTGCTGGGATTACAGGCATGAGCCACTGCACCTGGCCCTTAGAACGACTTTTATCAAAAAGACAAAGACAAGCATAGTGTTAGGCAAGGAATGTGGAGAAAAGGGAACCCTTATACACTGTTGAGAGGCATGTAAATTAGTACAGCCATTATGGAAAACAGTAGTGATTTTCCTTAACAAAACTAAAAACAGAACTACCATAGGATCCAGAAGTCCTACTTCCAGGTATTTATCCAAAAGATTTTAAATCAGTTTGTCGAGGAGAAGTCTATACTCCTATGTTTATCGCACCATTACTCTCAATAGCCAAGTTATAAAATCAACCTAAATTCCATCAACAAATGGATGAATAAAGAAAATGTGTCAGGTGTGATGGCTCACATCTATAATCCCACCATTTTGGGAGGCTGAAGTGGAAGGATTGAAAAGGCCAGGAGTTTGAGACCAGCCTGGGCAACACAGTAAGACCTCCACCTCTTAAAAGAAATAGAAAAATTACCTTGATGGAGTAGCAGGGACCTGTAGTCCCAGCTACTCAGGAGGCTGAGGCAGGATTGCTTGAGCCCAGGAGTTCAAGGCTACAGTGATCTGTGATCACAACACCACTGTACTTCCAAGCCTGAGCAGATCCTGTCTCTTAAAAGATGGTGTGTGGGCTCGGCGCCTATAGCTCAACC